TTGCACACGGTGAGTTGGCAATTGAAATAAGAGATAAGTGTAGAGAATACGAAGGACCCTTTGCTATATGTGTGTAAACCGATTGGTGTGTAGCAATTGACGAGGGTATGTTCTCTGATGATACATCAATATGTTATTTATAAAATCGTTGTATATAACATAACAATATTCCAATATATATGTTTTAGAGAATGTGTCTATCAAGGATTATGATGATGATGGTGTGTCCCATTTTATCACTGATTCACCTATTGATGAAGTTTTAACCTTGCGCAATAGGTAAGTATGTTTCTATGTATTGTTTAAATTGACTTATGAAAAAAAAATATTTTCATATATATAGATCTACATGATTTTGTTATTGAAATTTTAGGATTAGAGAGAGATTATATGGGCTGGATACAGATGATGTCTAATGGTTTGGGCCGATTAGAAGGATTCAAAATCGATAATCCATATATATTATTAGTTTTGTTAGACACTTTTTTTTGTATTTACAAGGCTGTTTTGCGATTATTAATAAATAATAATTTATTCTAATTTGGGTTTAAATTACTCCTTATATATATAATATACATTGTTTTGGTAAATTTACTACTGGAGTATGATTATGTGTTATCATGAATTGATTATTTATGAAGGATTGTCATTGGATAAAAATAACATTATTCTAATAAATTGGATTATAAACAATATTAAATATTTTTAATAATGTTCTATCAAAAAATACCGCGTGTTGGATTATTAAAAAGTATGTCAATAACATATATAACTGATTTGATTCTAAATCTGTTTGATGTAAACGGTTTATTATGTTACACTTAAGTTATATATCATCTGAGCCCAATATTTTTATACATCTTATAGGCAAAAAAATTCCGTGTTTTAACCAAAAATCGATTCTTCCTTTAACAAATAAATTGTGTTAACCAATAATCTATCTAGAATATTCATCATAAGTTGCAACTTTCCAAAAATGGAGCATTTTTAGTTTAAAAAATACATAAAATGCACTGATTCACGCGACACTTTCCATAACCGTTATTTGGGTGTTCTATATATCCACATTTCCTCATATACATTGTTAAAAATAAACAACAAAGCAATCCTTCTCCCAAACTGTTTCTTTGGCTTTATAAAAACATTATCCACATGACTATATATAACTTTGTTGATGAGTTACATGCTTGGAGACGAGATTGGAAAATCCGTGTCAAAGTTTTGAAAAGATGAAATAAACCTGATCGTCAAGGCTTACCAGGGCTGAATTTCATTTTAGTCGACGAAAATGTAAGTGTTATCTAATATGAATATATAACTATTTTGTCTATATTTATTGTTTGTTTGATCTCTTTGTAAATTTCATTGTATATAGGGTTGTAGAATTAATGCTTCATGTGGTAACCTCGCTTTTCCATATTTTTACCGTGTTGGGACCGAAGGACGATGACTTGAATTGTCTAAATTCGGCTTGATACCATCTTAATGGAAGAATGAAGGAAGAACAACGAGACACAATTATCAGATCACTCTCACTACTGGGACAGAAGTCTCAAGTCTACGACCATTGACAATGGATCCCTTCATGAAATTTGTCCCTTTTAGTGAGATATACAGAATTCCTTATGCTCAGTTGTATCCTGTTGGTAAGATTAATTTCTAATATTCGTTTCAGTGATTTCATATATAATTTTGTACATATATAGAAAAAAAATGAATTCCGTTTATGATAAATATTTCTCTCATAATTGATTTGTAGATCTCATTGGAGTGATGGAAACTGTTAGCGACATTGAAACAGAGAATAACCCTGATGGAGATATTATTCAGAAAATAACTTTTACCATCACAGATCTCGAGTAAGTTTATATTTTCTCTCATGATCACTATGCCTTGGTAACAAAGTTTGTAACTTAAATTTTTCAAATCAAAGGGACGTGAAATTGAAATGCATCGCATATGGGGACTTTGCCGCTGATATCAAAGAAAGAACCAAAGGATTCACTGGGCCTTTTGCAGTTTCTGTCTTAACCGATTGGAGTGTAAATAAAAAAGAAGGTATGGATAATCAAGCATATGTCATTATTATTTTCATTTTGTGCAATGGATAATCAAACAAATATATGTTTTATATTTGTTTTGCATGTATATTTCCTAATAATAATTTTATACGTGTAGATGAAATAATTATCCAATCACATGAAGCAATTGGTTTTTCCCGTCTTCTCCTTGATCCCACTACGGATGATGCCCTGATTTTTAAGAGAAAGTAAGTAATCTGAAAATTATAATTGGAGAGTTTTGTATATACAATAATCTTATAGTATGTATATGTCTCTTAAACCTCCAGGATTCGGGAGAGGTGGAGCACGTTTTAGACACAAGACGGAAATATAACTTATAACAATACTTAATAGAGTAGTGTTCTATTAATTTCTTTTTATAAGTATTTATATAACTTAAAAACTTGTATGTTGGATCTTATTACATGATTTATTTTAGTATTTGTAATTTATTTCTTTGTATAAGTATTTATATAACTTAAAACTTGTGTGTTGGATCTTATTATACAATGTTTTAGTCTCAAAAATTGAAAATAAAAATGTGATGTTTATGTTACAAGAATTTCAATAATCAAATTATAATAAGATTTATAAAATGATTGTGCCCGCGCGACGCATGCAGATACCTAGTTTATACTATTATTTGCAAAGCCTATGTGTCGTCTCCAGAACGATTCACTTATGTGTCATTATTATATATATATATATATATATATATCGTTTTAATTAATTCTGATAGGACGATCATTAATCCTATGTGTCAATATGTGTGACATGATTTTTTTTCATCGATTATGGGCCATTGAATTTGTTAATGGACCAGCGGTTTTAATCTCAATCATAGCCACCGAATCTGTTAAATGAGTCACCAACATAAAAATTCTAAACCCTAAAGCATCTATCCTACTCTATATATGCTCGTATTGTGTTCCTCTTCTTTATTGTTCCTAAACATCTTTTTATATATTCGTGTTCGTAAATGTTTTGGAGTAATCAGTTATTATTCGTAAATATAAATTGATCAGAACTTCTTTATTGTTTTTCCTTAGAAAAATCTTCATGACCGAGCACATATTTAGTTCTGTTATGTTCTTTTCACTGTTTTGTGTTTGAATTTGTTTATTTTAATTCGAGTTTGTAGTCTTATATTGATATATACCTTCCACCATGCTGATTTGATTAGGTTATCTTCGTTGGTGGTTTATACAATGAACAACATGTTAAGAGGTAGTCTTATCGATTTGTTCTGTTGTTATATTACTTCGGTTTACTTTTATACAATTAGACAACTTATGATGCATCGCTTATATTTTTAAAAAATGCATCATTTTTATATAAAAAATATATATAAAAAAAATTCTAATTCTATACTCCGTGGTTATGATTTTAAGATGCATCGCTAATATTGCAAAGTCGAGTTGAATGATGCATCGTTTGAATTACAAAGCTTCAAGTAATTTGTCTGAATTTTCTCTCTCTTTAATTCAGATGTTCCCGTTTTGAGCTTCCACTTGCCTCAACCTGATCGTGAACCTGAAGGGTAAGCGTAAATCCATATTCCTTTTTTATTTACAATGTTATTGTTCCTTAAAAGTAAGTTGGCTCCACGACTTTCTTTTCTTCGTGATTACTTGCATTTGTATTTCGTTATTATTCACTTACATGTATAGTTTGATGTTCTTCTAAAAGATTATTACAATTTTGACATGTCAAGGTTTACACCTTGGAGGTGAAAACCGCACCCCGGTTTTCTCCGGTACAAACTAGATCGGCGTAATGTAAGCCCGGTTCACGAAGGGACGTTCCGGGAAGACTGGGCCGAGTAAACCTTGGGCCGAATGAAGCCCATTAGGTCGAGGTCGGCGAGAAGTTTCTCGAAGGAACAGAGAAGCTTCCCCGAGTTCGGTCGAAATAGGAAAGTTTCCCAACGGAAAAAGGAAACGAGCATGAGAAAAGGAAAGGAACCGAGAGAAAAAGAAAGTCCTCTCGGTCCCATATCGCCGAAGATGTGCTTGAAGACCGACTCAGAGGGTATATATAAAGGGAGATGAATCGACACCAGAGAACACAAGATATTCTAGAGAAGACTTAAGAACTGAGAACTCATTACGCAAGGCTCTTAGTTTCGTTAAGTCTTAGTTCGTAGTTAATTGCTTAACTATCGAACTCAATTGTATTTGCTTGATTCGATCTAATAAAAAAACCGAGTTTACCGATCTAAAGTACTGTTTTACCCCTTGTCGATATTCACATATCAACAATTGGCGCGCCAGGTAGGGGGCCTAAACAGAATTTTTTAGTCTTAGATCGGACTTCGGATAGATCGAATCATCGATGGCAGAACAAACCAACATTCACGAGGAAGGAAACCCTCTCGGTGGAGAGAACGCTAACGCCCCAGCAGAACAGAGCGGAGGAATTCCTGGGGAAAACACTGGAACTACAGCCGGTCAAACCCCCGCAGCTGTAGGAGGTTATGGAACTGAATTACTGCTCCAAGAGTTTAACGCCCAATTCTAGGCCATTAGCAAAAGGAGCGAGGAACGTTTCAGTCAGATGGCGGCACAAATCGCCGAGCTCAGTCAAGCAGGAACTCCCCTTCGAGTTCGGAACATCATTGACGATCTTAATACTGACGGAGATCCAGCCGGAACTATGAGGTCTACCGCAGTCGGATCAGCGAATGCACCAGCGTCGGATTTAAACCGAGACGCCGAGTTCGAAGCAATGAAGGCGCAACTTCGCGAGATCACTTCGAAGATACATCAAGCAACGAGCGCGGCTCCGGAGATCGAGCGCGTCATTCAGGAAACACAGAAGACACCCTTCACACGGCGCATAGCAGGAACGCCGGTCAAACATATGGAGAAACTAAAGATAAAGGTCTACGAAGGCAATACTGACCCCTGACACTTTTTGACATCGTTTCGCATCTGCATGAACCGATACCAGTTCAAATCCGCCGAGGAAAGGGACGCAGTTCAGTGCCAACTATTTGTGGAAAGTTTAAGAGGAGTAGCTCTCGACTGGTTCTCGCGACTCGAGGCCAATTCGATCGATAACTACAAGGAGTTAACGACAGCCTTCGTCAAACACTTCTCCATGTTCATTGGACAGAACACCAAGAACTCCGAGCTCTGGCAAATAGCCCAAGGACCAAGCGAGAGCCTCCGCGATTTCATTCAGCGCTTTAAGACGATCGTCGCTAATTGTACGATTAGCGATGAAGCCGCTCTCTTATGCCTCCAGAAAGGAGCTCGGATAAAGACTAGCTTCCGGAGCGCGATCACTCACAACCCTCCACAGACGCTAGAAGACGCGCTACACCGAGCTAATACTTACATCGCCGAAGAGGAAGAAGAAGCCGCTTATGAGCAGAGTTATTCGACAAAGCAACCCGAACGTTCAAAAGTCACAACTAATGAACCACAGTCGGGATACGGTCGAGGGTACGAGAATCGTAAGAAGTTCTATGCTAATGCGATCCAACAACCGACCAAGCAGTGGAACAAAAAATGGGTCCGCGGTGAAGAAGATCAAGACGAGTCTTTGTTCTGTGAATTCCACAACCGTAGAGGACACAGCACCGAGGAATGCAGACACCTGCATGAATATCTACTCGGCCAATACCGAAAGGGGCCAGTCTCAGTTGACGATCTCCGTCGCTTAAACGCACCTAGGAACAGTGGGCAGACTTTGATTGACGATCTTCGTCGATCAAACATGCCTCGACCGAATAACGCGCAGCTCGAGAACGCCATCACTAAGGATCCACCAACTCCACCAGCTTTACCGACATTACCAACTTTACCAGCGTTACCACCACCGCCACCGTATCCGCCTGCTTTGCCCGAACAACAGAAACGCAATCGCGACGACCGAGCACAAGAAAACCATGCTCCCAAAGCAAGGAAACGCGTCAACATGATAATGGGAGCCATCGAGGCTTGCAGCTACTCGGTTCGAGCTATCAAAGAATACAGTCGACAGGCCGCCAGCGCACCCAAAGTCCCACAGGATCCGCCGAAAGGAACGCCTTTGGTATTTACCGAGGCTGACATAATCGGGTTGCATAAACCGCATAACGACGCCCTCGTCGTCGAACTACTTCTCGACGATGTCGAAGTTAGCCGCATTCTGGTCGATACAGGTAGTTCGGTCAACATTATCTTCAAGGAAGCACTTGACCAGCTCGACTTATCCTCAGATAGGATTGAGCCTTTTATCGAGCCACTAACAGGTTTCGATGGAGAACGCTGCATGACAGTCGGTATGGTCAACATCCTGATCTACCTCGGTGGAGTCGCAAAGATTATCCAGTTTCTCATCCTCGATAAATCGGCAATCTACAACGCCATTCTCGGTACGCCTTGGTTACACGCAATGAAGGCGGTCGCCTCGACGTACCATCAATGCCTCAAGTTCCCAACTCCCGATGGTGTCTACACCCTTCGAGGAAACCAAGCCGTCGCTCGATCATGCTACATAAACGAGTGCAAACTTCATTCGGCCAATCAAGCTTGTGTCATCAGTTCGTTAGGACCGACGAACGAGCTCGTCGTCCAGCAGACAAAACCTAAGCGGGAGTCGATCGTTGAAGTTTGCATCGATGAGCTAAGGCCAGAGCGCCAAGTCGGAATCGGCGCCGAACTCGACCCAAACATCCGTGAGCCACTCATTCACTTTCTGAAACAGCATTCGTCAACCTTCGCTTGGTCGGTAGAAGATATGCCCGGGATCGATCCACAGATCGCGTGTCATGAGCTCAATATCGATCCGACGTATAGCCAATCAAGCAGAAACGCAAAAAGCTCGGACCAGAGAAGGCACAGGCCGTCAATGACGAAGTCGAGCGGTTGCTCAATGCAGGTTCCATCACCGAAGTTAAATATCCAGATTGGTTAGCTAACCCTGTAGTCGTCAAGAAGAAGAATGGTAAATGGATGATCTGCGTCGACTTTACCGATCTCAATAAGGCATGTCCGAAAGATAGCTTTCCTTTGCCTCATATTGACCGTCTTGTGGAAGCAACTGCCGGGAACGAACTACTCTCATTCATGGACGCGTTCTCCGGATATAATCAGATTCTTATGCATCAGAAAGATCGGGAAAAGACATCGTTCATCACAGACCGCGGCATATACTGCTATAAGGTCATGCCTTTTGGCCTGAAGAATGCTCGAGCGACATACCAACGGCTGGTGAATCGGATGTTCGCAAGCCAGCTCGGGCGAACTATGGAAGTTTACATTGATGATATGCTCGTGAAATCGCTCGTCGCTTCCGATCACGTCGGTCATCTCCGCACGTGCTTTGATATTTTGGATCAGTACGGCATGAAGCTTAATCCCACCAAGTGTACGTTCGGCGTAACATCTGGAGAGTTCCTTGGATACATAGTCACACAGCGAGGCATTGAAGCTAATCCAAAGCAGATCGCAGCTATACTCGAACTCCCGTCTCCGACAACCAAACGCGAAGTTCAACGACTTACTGGACGTATTGCAGCACTGAATCGATTTATATCCAGATCGACAGACAAGTGCTTACCTTTCTACCAACTTCTTCACGGTAACAAACATCTCGAGTGGAATGAGAAGTGCGAAGAAGCTTTTGCCGAACTGAAGAAATACTTGTCTATGCCGCCAGTCTTATCCAAACCTGAAACTGGCGAAACACTTTATCTTTACATTGCAATTTCGGAGTTCGCGGTCAGCAGTGTTCTTGTTCGAGAGGATCGTGGCGAGCAAAAGCCAATTTCTACACAAGTAAATCCCTCGATGGATCGGAGTATCATTACCCGACCTTGGAGAAATTCGCCTTTGCCGTGGTTATTTCCGCAAGGAATTTACGCCCGTACTTCCAGTCTTACTCGATCGTTGTCCTGACCGACTACCCTCTTCGCACTTTCTTCCATAGCCCAAGTCAATCTGGACGACTCGCCAAGTGGGTCATTGAACTTAGCAAATATGACATCGAATACCGAGGAAGAACTGCAACGAAGTCTCAAGTCCTAGCAGATTTCTTGATCGAACTCCCACCTGAGCTCGTCGAAGCTAATCCCGTCATACAACCTTGAATTCTCCACGCCGATGGTTCATCATCCCATAAGGGATCCGGCGTCGGGATTCGTCTCAAATCCCTCGAAGGAGAGGTTATCGAGCATTCATTTCGACTTGGCTTCCCGGCATCTAATAACGAAGCCGAGTACGAAGCATTGATTGTCGGACTACGACTTGCCAAAGGTATCGGTGCCGAGCACGTACACGCCTACTGTGACTCTCAACTTGTGGCTAACCAATTTCACGGTGAATACGAGGCCAAGAATGACCGCATGGACGCGTACCTCAAAGTCCTCAAGGATGTCGCTTCGGAGTTCTCAACCTTCGAGCTTACAAAGATACCTCGTGATGGGAATGCAACCGCCGACGCCTTAGCCGCTCTCGCGACTAATTCTGATCCCGATCTTCGGCGAACTATCCCAATCGCAGCAATCGAGCGACCAAGTGTCGAGCCTGCTCCAAACTGTAACATCATTACATGACGACGTGATTACGAAGCCCAACCCAATCTCGCTCCACCCCTCACCCGAAAGACGAAACCAAGAGAGGTCGTCACCGATCTCAACACCAACTTGGACGAACAAGTTGACACCGGATCTGATCTCGAAGATGAATCCGAAGGCCAACATATTCCAATCGACATCGAAGCCGAAGGTGAAGACGAGCCCGAAGATTGGACCTTAGAAATTGTGGGCTACATTGGAGATGGAACGGTTCCTGCAGATAAATGGGCAGCTCGACGCCTTAAGGCTCGAGCAGCTCGATATGTGGTCATTAATGGCACTATCCTCAGATGGGATGCTTCCGGCGTACTCTTGACTTGTGTTCGCGGCAACGACATCATGGAAGTAATGTAGAAAGTTCATGAAGGAGAAGGAGGAAATCACTCCGGAGCTCGATCTTTGGCATTCAAGATCAAAAAAGCTGGCTACTACTGGCCTACTATGCTGTCTGACTGCGAAAAGTATACAGCACGCTGCGAGAAGTGCCAACGACATGGCCCAATGATCAACCTTCCGACCGAGCTCTTGATGACCTCGACCGCACCATATCCTTTCATGCGCTGGGCAATGGACATCATCGGTCCTTTTCGCCGATCTACGACTCAGAATCAGTACGTCTTGGTCGTCACAGACTATTTCATCAAATGGGTCGAGTCCGAGGCGTACCCCGAGATTTATGGAATCGATGTCAAGAAGTTCGTCTGGAAGTTTATCATCTGTCGACACGGAGTCCCATACGAGATCGTTACGGATAACGGAACCCAGCTCACTTCGATAGTCTTCACAGATTTTTGCGCTAAGTGGAAAATCCGACTAAGTTTCTCTACCCCGCGGTACCCACAAGGAAACGGACAAGCCGAAGCCATGAACAAAACCATTATCGATGGTCTGAAGAAGCGACTCGATACCGCTAAGGGAACTTGGGCGGACGAACTCGATGGTGTCTTGTGGTCTCACCGAACTACACCACGACGTTCGACCGGTCAGTCACCATTCTTTCTTGCATAGGGTACAGAAGCTATGTGTCCAGCCGAACTCAACGTCCAGTACGAAACAGGAGTTCGAATCAGTTCACTCTTCCAGTACGAAACGATTCACTTGGGTTCCCAGGCCGAGCTCAAACGCTCGCACAATAAGCCGAACTCCTCAGATTCGCACCGTAAGCCGAGTTCACAACACTCCCAAAACGTAAGCCGAATTATCGCAATTCGCTATCGAAAGATAAATTATGTTTGAACACCATCTACTGTGTACCGATCTAGTACTTAAGCGTTAATCACAAATCGTTACCGACGAAATAATGTCAAAAGTTCAAGATAGGCGCCGATCTACTACTTTAAGATTCTTCTAAATCATCAAGATAAGAAAAAAGAAGAGAAACGAGCATATAATTAAAAGCCTCCCAAGAGGCAAATAAGTTCAAAAGCCCACCAAGGGCTCGGAAATAGAATATTACAAGCAAAATAACCCATGAAAGGGCAAATGAGTTCGAGAAAAAGAAAGAACAAGAAAAAGATTAAGCGTTCTTTGAGGTTGCGGCTTGATCGGCGTTGAGTATATCCTCGTTCGAACCAAACTGTTCGCCCCTCGCAGGATCTTGCGCGCTTTGGGTCACATTCACGGCCGGAATATCATCATCGTCCGCGAACGGGGACATCCGCTTGGTTTCCTCCGTAAGAATGCAGGCATCAACCAAACGGAACTCCTCCAGAGCCTTAGCATGTTTCGCCTCAATGTCAGCGATCATCTCAGGCGGGACCTCGTATAGACCTTTCTTCTTCAGCTGCTTGATGAAGCCCAGAACCCCAGTAAGCTGATTTACCACCAAGTAGGGCTTGCGGGCTCGATCAGCATCATCCAAGCTGCGGATCACCTTCTCCAAACGATCGCAAGCTTGTGCGTGGACACTCCTAGCCCGACCCTTCCAGTGGGTCACCAAGGCTCGCAGCCGCTCTCGATCTTTCTCGAACTCCTGAGCAAGCATATTATGGGCCTCGGTCAGCTCTTTCCTCACCGCTTTCAGTTCTGCACTCTCCTGCTTCAGCAAGTCAACCGAAGAGTGGAGAGTATCGTTGATTTGTAGCTCGGTGGCAAGGCGCTCTTCCGCTTTGGAGACCCTTTCCTCGAGCTCGGCAACCCTAACTTGCTCGTCGTAGAGAGCTACTTCGTACGCCGCCACCAAATTATTGGTCTGACTGGTGAGCTGCGCAAAGCGAAATAAGAGTCAGAACTCATACTTAGAAACATATTAAAATCAAGAGAAGAAGCATGGAAATTACCACGGCGGTAATACGTGCGATCCCCTTGTACATATTAGGGAAACGGAGCTCGGCCACTGCCGGGAGACTAGGGACCTGAGAAGAGATCTTGTGGTAGATATCGGCGCAGGCATCGATGTTCTCCTCGAAAGGAGTCTCCTCATCATAGTCAAAGCAAACCTTCGCCCTCTTCGCTGGTTCTGGCTCAGGGGAACCCTCGGCGCGATCTCCAATTTGTCTCTTTTGAGAGTGAGAAGCCTCAGCTCGATCTTGAGGGAGAGCGAGGTCTGACGCCACAGCTGTTGATGCCTCGAGCTCAGCGGGAGCGTCTTGCGCCCGAGAAGAGTCTTCGATCTTCTTAATCTTCTTTGAAGACTTCTTCTTCTTCAGCTTCTTCTGACCAGCTTGGTCAGGGGAGTTCGCAACCGGCGGCAGTTCTCCAGGCTGCTCCTCGGTCACTTCAGCAGCAGGGATGGGGATCGGGGCCGCATTGTTCGGTTCCTCTTCGTCAAAGAGAGTCGGGATCTCATCCAAGGAAAGCATTCTGGCAGTTCGAGGTCGTTTAACCTGCGGTTTTGGCACTTTGCGTCTTGGAGCAGCTCGGGGCTTGTTAGCTCGAGCATTTGGCTTCCGCGGTTTCGATTCTCGGACAGAAGCTGCAGTGAAAATATGTCAAGGAAGAGTTCGGAATAAACTCAAAAATAAGAATGAGAAAGTAAGCTCGACAATCAAACCTGCTTTCTTAGATCGGCGTTGGAGAATTTCTTCCCAAACTTCGGGCCAACGACGCTTACCGGCTTCGCTGAAGGCTTCTACGAATTCAGATGTGAGTCCGGAGTTGAGGATAATGCTTGGGAGATGACGACCTGCGAAAGATAGAACGAAAGAAAGTTAGTCAAATGCAAAATCAGAATTTAGCTAAGTATGAGATCATCTAAATCTACTAATCGGAATCTTCCACTCCGATTGAGTGGGGATGTCAGAGTTGCTGACGGTGAGATCATTCATCTCGAGATAAAAATATAGAGATTCTCAGTCGTTGAATTTACTGGGTTTAGGCCCAGTAACTATGTTCTTCTTTGGCTTAGCGTTTGCAGCAAAGAACCACTCCTTGGATTTGTGGATGTTCACCGAGAAGAGGTCCTCGAAAAGCCGACTGGTTGGGATCTCGCCGAGCTCGTCGCATAGAGATACGAACCCTACGTAGTTCGTTATTGAAGCTGGCATCACTTGTGTGAGGGCTACTCCACACCGGTTACAGTACCCAAGGAGACGAGAAGGGATCGGAAACGAGAGCCCGCATTGCGTGAAATAAGTTAAGTATACGCAGAGGAAGCCCTCGGGGACGTCCCACGGCCGATCTCCAGCTTCTGGGATTATAAAGACGATTTGATCCGAGAGCCCATTTTCCTCGAGCACGGCCTGAACAGCACCCGGAGTGACAGAAGAAGACGGCACATTGTTGGGGCGAACGATTTTTCGCTTCGGAAGCGGAGGTGAAGCATGGTTCACTGCTTCAAGGTTGTCCTCGGCAACCTCTGCCTCAGTAGCGTTCTCTTCCTCATTCTCTCCTTCAGGTTCCTCAACCTCTTCGATCTCGTGGTCGATACCACCAGCGTTCGGTCCAGCACGAGCTTCTGTCTCGCGAGTTTCTGTCACCAACTGCTCGGTAGCTTCAACCCTAACTCTAGCACGGCTGCTGCTCGCATCCACCGACTTAGAGTTCTTACGAACTAGCTGTGGGGGATTGCTTTCTTCCCGAGAAGAGTCAGATGAACGAGGATGTGAAGAGGAAGAGCTCGGCTCTGAAGGCTCGTGGCGATCTTCTGGAAGGATCTGATTAGAGGAGGAATTGATTGAAGAAGAGTTCGAAGACATGTTGAGAAATGGAGTCGAAAGAAGATCTGGAAAAAGTTAAGAACAGCTTGAAGATCGATCGGAAAAGGTTGAAGATCGATCGGAGGACTTGAAGATCGATCGGAAAAGGTTGAAGATCGATCGGAAAACTCAAGAAATCGCGGCGGCGAGAGTTGAGAAAAAGAGAGAGGACTACAAACGAAAACTAGAGAGAGAAGTAAAATCTAGAGAGAAGGGAGAGCAGCGTACCTTATATATGCTTGAACGAGAATAATGAATGCGAGAAGAGGTTTTTCTCTTATAAACAGTGGGAATTGTGGGTTCCTCGATTTTCGCGAAATCCCGGAATTCACGCGCCGCATTGAAGACAGGGTGCGAAACGTCCGGAATACGAATCGTCTGCGGTTACCGAGCTCGGTTTGTGACCTACTTAGTATCAAATGAGTTCGACTAAAAATCACCTCCCTTCGTCGAACTGAGGGGGGGGGGGCTAACTGTTGGAGGTGAAAACCGCACCCCTGTTTTCTCCGGTACAAACCGAGATCGGCGTAATGTAAGCCCGGTTCACAAAGGGACGTACCGGGAAGACTGGGCTGAGTAAACCTTGGGCCGAATGAAGCCCATTAGGCCGAGGTCGGCGAGAAATTTCTCGAAGGAACAGAGAAGCTTCCCCGAGGTCGGTCGAAAATAGTAAAGTTTCCCAACGGAAAAAGGAAACGAGCATGAGAAAAGGAAAGGAACCGAGAGAAAAGGAAAGTCCTCTCGGTCCCATATCGCCGAAGATGTGCTTGAAGACCGACTCAGAGGGTATATATAAAGGGAGATGAATCGACACCAGAGAACACAAGATATTCCAGAGAAGACTTAAGAACTGAGAACTCATTACGCAAGGCTCTTAGTTTCGTTAAGTCTTAGTTCGTAGTTAATTGCTTAACTATCGAACTCAGTTGTATTTGCTTGATTCGATCTACTAAAAAAACCGAGTTTACCGATCTAAAGTACTGTTTTACCTCTTGTCGATATTCACATATCAACATATAACGTGCACCTCCCTCCTCTTTTTTTTTAACACATGGTCCTGTCGTTAGTTTCTTCCATTGTTACATTTACTTATGTTCTAGATCCTAATAGAATACATGAGGAGGATCGGTGTACACGTGATTTGATGTCACTTGATATTTGCCTTAAAGATTCACAGTCCTCAGTTTTACTGAAAGGGAACTTTTTTTTTTTTTGTTTCTTTAAAAAATTTAAACTCGGGTCCTCTTTATGACACAAGCAGATATAGGCCATGTATTATTAGACAAAAATGTGTTTGATAAAAGAACTTTGTTTGTTTTTTTATTGGTGGATCTAACTCTTGGGATATTGGATCATTTGTCTTTGTTTTTTTTTTAGTTTACCGAGGTACAAGTTCTTGTGTATCACGTTTTAGGGTTTGCATGCATAATTGCTTCGGTTTTGTATAAAGTTCTAAAGACAGTGAAATTTCAGTGCTGAGGTAAATTCTTCTATGGGTTTGTTTTGATATAATCTTTTTTTATTTTCTTGGTGGATGTTTTGCAGCTTGCAGTCATAGGACAACACTGAGACCAACCTCTGCTTTATTGGAAACGCATTGTGTCAGCAGTAGAGGGCTTAGTGATTCATGTATGGGACTACTCTCAACCAAATAAGAAGGCTGTTTCTTCTCAGAAACAAAAAACGATCAGGTCTTATGTCTGTTGCCATACCTTGACCAGGCAAGGGGAAAAAGGGGGACAGTTTCATTGCTGATCTGCGAAAAAAGTTGCTCATTTCCTATTGTTGATGGACTGTCTCTCTCCAATGAAAAGAGCAACAACGTGGTCAGAAGAAAAGCTTGGTGTAGTAACAGGTGCAGGTGCAGCAGCGATTTCAGCTAAAGTTAGCATCAGGTCTAAGCTGAGGCTCTTGAGGAACGTGTGCGAGAAAGTCAACCCTTGTACGCCGCACCCGTGGGGGCTTGTGATCATGACAGCAACTTGGGACGGTAGGATTAGGGTGTTCCATAACTATGGTTTACCAGTTTAAATATACAAAAGCAGAAAATGTGTATATGTAAACAATGTTAGAGTAGTAGCATTCTTTGATTTAGATTGGAGCTCATGTTAGCTTTAAAATCATGAGCTAAAATTGGTCTCCTTGTATATTGTGTCTAGTGCTTTATGTGACATCTATTATGTGCGTGTGTGTAAGTAAACACCGACCGTGATTTAAAATTTGTCAAAATTAGAAGAGACAACAATGTTACTGACTACTGAATCTCTCTGGTTCTTAACATTTACAAAACATTAGTATAATCCTTTTTGTGTCCTTCTGTTGATATTATTCCTTTAACCTAGGACTCTGAAATACGTTTATGTTTTGATATTTGCTTATCAGATGTTTGAAAGTAGAAAATATATATACTTGAGGAATTGTATCTGATGAGCATAACAAGAACAGGGACACTACTTGATCGACTCTCCCCCTTTCATATGTATTAAGAAAAACATACAAAAGAAGAAAAAAAAAACTCCATCTTTAGAGCTTTACTTTAATTTTTTATTTTATTTTATTGTATTAGTCTTGATATATATGTACAAGGCTTGAGATTTTGGATCAAAAAATTAGATCCTTCTTAAATCGATTAAGTGAAACCAGTTTAATTAATCTTTTCCCTAAAAAAGTCATAGCTTTTTTATTCATTTTCGCTAATCTTACTAAAAATATAGCTTTTAAAGTCAATTCAACCGATCAATCTAAGACGGTCTTAATGGTTTTTTTTAGATACAACACTTTCATCATTTTAATATTATACATGATAACAGAAAAAAAAATAGTTAAATTAGACAAAGCAGAAAAGTAAAAGACGAAGAAAAACCTGAATAATAGTATATCGAGACGACGAATATGATAAAGAAAGATAAGAAAGAAAATGAAGAAATTGGAGACAGTGAAAAGAAGTCGGAAGAAATGAAGACGATAAAAACAAGCAGGAAGAAATCACAGATATTGAAGAAGAAAGAAAAATTAAGGAAGAAACATATTTTAGGATTTTTTTTTTTTTGGTACAATATTTTTTATCGGAGGTAACACATGTAAATACCATTTTATTTATATATGATAGATACTATAATACGTTTATATATTAACTGTAATTTTTAAAAAATTTAGATAATTTAAATATATAAGTGGTTTCATGAACGTAAACTACAAGAAAATAATACTTGCAATGATGAAGTTGTTTTGATGTCAAAAAATGTGCGACTGATATGAAGAAGAGAATGAAGAGATCGCCAAGATGGTTGAAAGTAAACCAAGAGAACAAAATAGGAAATAAGCATGACGGAAAATTTGTTCCTGAACTTCTACAGCTTTGTTGCAACTTTTGATCATTTTATTATTATTATACATGTGAAACGGACATTATGGTCAAATTTCAAATGAGAGCAATGAGATATCGTTTTTGAAAAGTTGTGTATTGTAAAAGTGTTTCATCTGAATTTGATTTTGATTGAATGGAAAAAAGTCTTACAAAACCTCATTAGAAGTAGCATAATCAGAGCAAACAACGATAAAAAAACATGTTAGCCCACAAATCTTACGTTCTTTTTTTTTTTATTTATTGCACAATAATTATTATACTATCTTTAAAGAAATTGATTCTGTACAAATCAATTGTAAATCCTATTCAAAATAAGAGAAAAACACTACATACGAAGTCGAAGGATATAAAAGAAGAAGAAGCAGAAAAAAAGACGAATAGACGATGAAGAAGTCAAAAAGACAAAGACAAAGTCATATCAATTAATTACGAAAAGAAAAATAAAAAGGTGGATAACCCAAACTAATGAAGACGCATAAGGATAACAAGATGGGGAAGTTGAAGAAGAAGAAAAAGAATCAAACGCTTGAGAGGTTAGAGAAAAATAAAAAATGAGAAAATAAAGTAGTAGAAGAATAAGAGGAACAAGAAGGGGAGTAAGAAAGTGGAAACATGAAGTTGAGATTAT